AATGCTAATGGATCTATGAAAAAGTAAATTTTGTAAATTTCACTATGACATAGAGTCCAAAATGCTACACAACCTTTTAAAAAATGAATCCTTGTGATGAGTAGAAAATAAGTTTTGTATTACCTATATAAAGTGAAGTATATATGATTTGTAGTTTTTAAACAGGGGAGGGGAAGTGTGATGAAGTGGGGAACAACCTCATAATAACTCAATGGCACAAAATGTTGAGTGTGTGAGGGGAAGGAAGAAACCTGACAAAAGAGCAGGAGGGGGAATGGAATGAAATGGAGTGGAGTGGTCAATGACTGCAAAGGGATTGGCACAGAAAGTGGGGAATCTGATAAATGGTAGGAAGAATGGCTAGAGGAGGAGACACATACAAAAAAAGGGAAGAAATAGTCTTCTCATTCATCTGGAGAGATCTCTTCCTGGTTCACACTAAGAAACTATTTTTAAATCTCCCCAAGGATGGGATGAAGAGCTGTCAATAGAAAACACTGGAAGCACCCAAGATTTTAATTGGAGCTGGCACTGAGCACAAACATGCCCATGCCATCCTCCCAAATTTTAAATTGATGAGGATAAGACCAATGAGAACTGAGGATGCTCAGTGGGCACAGAATGTTGATTAAATTTGGGAAGGGGAGGTGGAGAATGAAAAAATAAGGGGTATTGGATAGAACAAAGTGGTTGAAACCCTGAACCAAAGCACTCCACACTGTGATATTTTGGTAAAGGGCCTCACTCGTTCCTTCAAATACTGATTTATGTGTTCCTGTGCTAAAATCCCCACCACTCATGCAGAAGAGAGAGGTATCAGCATACTTGGGTTATCCCAAGGCTTGAAAATGCTTAAAAGAGACTGAATATTAAAAATACAGATGAGGTGGGAAGAGAAAAGGTAAGAGAAAGGGAGTAACACACCATGGGTGGAATTCAACACTGATTGTGCAAATATGACTGTTCTGTCCTCTGAATTTGTGCAATTGCAGTCACGGACCTAAGGCCATTCTGATATGTTTTGAAGCAGAATGCTGGCCAAGTGGGGAGATCTTGCAACAAGATGATGAAGTTGTCAACTCAGGGGATTAATTTCTGCCAGGAGGTCAATTTAATTTACTTAATTTACTTAACATTTTAAAGAAAAACTCGTAGTGGTTTATGAGAAAATGTACAATAATAAAAACACAACTAAAATATAAAAGAGACATATTACCAAAATATAAAAACACAAAACTGAGCAGTGCAATCTGAAAAAAATGTTTCAACTATCAGGGAAAACCTGAGTAAACAAAAAATGTTTTAAAAGACATTTGAAATATTCCACAGTTGATACCTCACAGATGACAAGGGGGAGGACATCCCACAGGGTCAGTGCCAAATTAATAAAGTATGAAGATGAACAATGCACGTAGGCATGTTGATTGTTCACCAAAGCTATTTTTGAAGATAGAAAAAAGGCTGAGAAAGGAGGGGTAGGACAATGTCCCCATACAACATGTGACTTTGGTCCTCCAAACCAAGGGCTCATCTACACTTCTATACCGAAAACATGGGTCAGAGCAGTTTTGCCTTTGCCCCGCCACTTTCGCCCAGAAAACCTGCTCTTTAGTGCTAAATCATAACAAAGTCAATCCACGTAAAACATGACTGCTGTTTGCTCCAATTCAACACTAAAATGCGGGTTTTCCCAGGGAAAAGTGGTGGGGCAAACTGAGGTGTGGATGAGCCCTACCTTAAACAAGTAATTATACAAAACAGAAGATGTTGCAGAAATGGGAGAATTGAGTGCAGTAACTACCAGTCTGTATCATTTGCTACCAACAAGCTTTTCTCTCCACCACCCATATTTACTGTTCATTTATGAACCTGCCCACTCTCCCTTCACCTTTTTAAACCCACCATTATTGCTTATTCTGTCACCTTGAAGTTATTTTATAGCACACACACACACACCCCATTTCTCACATCATACATTCAACACACATGATTTAAAGCACATGATTTCCCCCAGAGAATCCTGGAAACTGTAGCTTCCCACTCACAGAGCTACAGTTCCCAGGATACTTTAGAGGAAGCCACGTGCTTTAAATGTGTGGTCTAGAACTGGTGTGAGCGGCTGAACATCTGCTTGACATCCCTGGTTCAGTCCCTGGCATCTCCAGGTGTGCTGGGATAGGACCGTGTAAAAATCCCAGAGGGCTGTTGTCAGTGTAGACCCTATGGAGCTAGGTAGGCCAGTGATCCAACTCTGGTTAAGTTATCCCTCTATAAAAGTAATATTTCATTTCCTCAGGTCATGTGTCCCCGGTTAAACTGGCATTGTATAGGAGGTTGTCCTATATAATGCACAGGGGGAGCGGAGGATTCTCCTTTATGGAAAAAAATAGGATTAAGCAAATAAGAGAGCCAGGGAAGTATAGCAGTTAAGAATGTTGGGCTAGGACCAGAGACCCAGATTCAAATCCCCACTCAGCCAAGAAGCTCATTGCACGACCTTGGACCAGCTGTTCTCTCTCAGCCTTGCCTACCTTGCAAAGTTGTTACAAAGATGAAATGAAAAGCGTGTTTACTGCCTTGGACACCTTGGGGGAAATGGAGGAGTATAAACGCAGTAAATAAATAAAATAAATAAGGACTGTATTACTGGAAAGGTGTCTTTTCCCAAGTCAAAACATTAGTCCATCTAGCTCAGTACTGCCTACACTGACTGGCAGCAGCTCTCCAGGGATTCGGGCAGGGGAGATTCCTAGCCGTACATGCAGATGCCAGGGAGGAAAACTCGGGTGCAAGGTATTCTAACCACTGAACTATGACCCTCCCCTTAAGACATAGGTACATTGGAAGCCACATTATGCAAAATCAAACTCTTGGTCCATCTAGCTCAGTATTGCCCACACTGACCGGCAGTGGCTCTTCAGGAGTCACTTCCAGCTCTACCTGGGATCTTCTGCATCAAAGCAGATGCTCTGCCACAGAGCTAAGACTCCGCCCCCTGCTATATTTGCAGATTAAATAAATAACTGGAATGTTGGGAATTAGAAAAAAATGAAACACCCAGTTATTCCTAGCCCAGCAGCTGGTCGGGGCACTCCAGCCATCCTTAGGGCCATTTGCCCCTCTACCTGCCTAACCCAATTCCCCCTTCCCTACCTGGCTGACTGGGGAGTGGGTTCCGCTCTACCAAGGGGGGACGTGACAGAGGTTGGCACCCTCTTCCAACAGAGCCAAGCTTGCTCATCTAGTCTTCTCGTTTCCCCACCTGGCATTGGCCTGGGCTGGGAGGGATGAGATGGAGCTTTACTTCCCTCCTTCCCCTCCCTCTCTGATTCCAGGTTGTTGGGAGGCTGGTGCTTCCCCCAATGCATTGCCTTTTTAACCCTTCCCTGGCATTCTTGGAAAGGGATGGCCAGGAGGAAAGGGGCCTTTTTGCTCTGAGCAGGCTGAAAGGCAGAGAAAGGGAGGCAGAGGGGAAAAGATGGGGAGGAGACTCACCCAAGTCCTCAGGGCAACCCTTCCACCTACATGGCCCACACCCAACCTAACCTATGACAAGCATCTTTTTATTGTTGCAGAGAAATTACCTTCTCCATTCCCATGTTCCTTGACAAACAGGCACAATCCTAACTCTGGTCTCTTCAGAAGTTAGTCCTGTGGATGAGGACTGTAGACTATGGGTTGCCGCTCATACAAATCCTGCTCAGAGTAAACCCATTGAAGTTCATGAGCATGCTTAATTTAGGCCCATTAATTTCAGTGGGTCTGTTCTGACTGGAATTTCGTTGGATACAATCCTAGGGCTGCTGCAGTCTTAATCCCCCTTTCCTGGGAATAAACCCGGCTGAATGAAATGTGGTTTACTTCTACACAGATGTGGTTAGAATCTCCCTATAAGGCTGGCTTCAGTCTAATATCACCCTGTTAAATATCCCATTGATTGCATTCAGCAGGTTTTAGACAATGTTAGTCTTACACAGAGTGCAGCCACGGAAAATGATAGCCATGATAACTAAGGCCCCTTAATAAGTTTACTCTCTGTAGGACATAGCTAGATACATCTCAGTGGGACTTACTTATGTGTGGGGTGAGGCTGCATTTCACTCTATGTCAAATAGACATATAGGTAACTCAACTTGACAACTGTCACTCAAAAGTGGCATCTGGGTATCTGCAAGAATTTTTTTCATTATGTGGGGGGGGGCAGGTTAATTTCTCACCACCACCCTTTTTTTGAGAAGAATCGTGCTTGCATATTTTGCATTCCACAAAGGCTAAAAACATTTTTTAAGATGGGGGGGGCAGGTCTGGAAATTATGGTTCATGGGTGGGATGCCCATGGCATATACCACACACACACGTGTGCCAAGCAGGACAGCAGCAAAAGGAGAAAATGGGCCACTTTGGGGGTTTCTGTTTGCAAATTCCTAGGCACTGAGGTTTTACCCACAGCGCCACCCGCATCCCTTGTATTTGTGTAGTGAACTGCTTAACATATGTACATGATGACAGCCACAACAGAAAGAAACTGAAATCAACCTTCTGATGGTGCCACTTTGCAATCACCACCACTATGAAGTTGAGGACAATATATAAACTCATAGGAATCAGACAACTTTTTTCAACATGTTACCAGTGATCCATCCAGAGTTGCCTGCAATTGATATGCTCTCTGAACACAAAAATGAATCAGTTCCAGCTAATGCATCTCTCAGACACAAAGATGCCCATGAATCTCCTTAGAGAACACTTGTCTTCCATTTCACAGGGAAAGGGCTGATTTGCCAGTAACTCTAGTGAGATTGAGAAGAGAAGGAAAACAGATAGAATGATTTAATAAGTTTCAGAATGGGCATGTGCCTATTATTCCAAACTATGGGGATTGTTGCAATTTTAAGAATCATAATAAAAAATTCATAGAATAGAGTCAAATGCACTTTTTTTAAAAAATGCAGCTGCTCTTTGAAATAGGTGTGTTATTGTTATAGCAATGACAGACTTACTTTCTTTGCGGACATCACAAAGCGCAGCATTAAGTTCCTCCATTAGCACAGGAGCCTCTTTAGCAATTTTTTCCCCTTTGTCCAGTAAGTTCCAAGTGGCTTCTTCCACAGAAGCAAGGATAACACGGGCTCGTTTGGAGCATCCTTTTTTCTTATTAGAAGGGTTTTGAGGGCAATTCACTAATGTGGTAACCTAAAAACATAAAAGACATTTTAGTACTTTCAGCTCTGAAATTAAACAGTTACATTTTTCAGCATATATTAAGAAAATAATGATCCCAGATAACTGACTAATGAAGCTCTAAGGGAATTTTTATATCAAATTTGTAATCCATGATTTGTGCACACAGCACTAGCATATCCAACACATGGTGTATGAAGAAATAAACTCAGAATGAAGCACACACAAATCATCTCATTAATTGCCCTAAAAGCAGCCTCTAGCTTTTCAAGCTGTCGTAGTGATTCGTCACGCAAAGGCAAAATATGTAGAGGTATAACAGTGGTGCTAAAACAGACATCATATAATCATAGTGTTTGCTTTGCTTATATAAGCTTTTCAGAGAGAGATAGAGCGAAAGTTGCTTTTCAATATTAAAGCTATTTTCAGAATAGTTCCTGTCAGGACTGGTCGTTGTCCTCTTCAGATCACCACACAAACGCTTCTTGTTCTTTTATAACTTTTTATTGTGTATTAACAAACAAACTTTTAAACGATCCTTATCTTTATCTATTCTTCCTCAGAGTCACTTATTTCAGATACCTTCTGAGCTCTGCCTCTCTGTGACCAGCCACTCTCAAAATGGCGAAGGCACCCTTCCCTTCGATTTCCCGCTCTTTTTTCTAGCCTCCTGGCTAGAGCTGGCTTGTATCTCCCCTCCTCCGAATCTGAGCTAGAACTTAACCCTTGCCTTTCCTGTGAACAGCCGGTCCCTCCCTGTTGTTCCTGTTGCTCTCTTCTGTTAGATTCACCGCTCTCCTCCCCGCCTTGGGGAAAACATTCTCCCTCTGGGAAACTGGAAACTTCTAACTCTAACTCTTCCCTGACAGTGCCCAAGTATCATTTTTCTGGGCTCTATACAAACTTGTACAAAACGTTGAAAAGAAAAGTGTTGCCTCCCTTGAAAAACCTCCTTCACTTTCTTTAGTTCCTTTATTTAAGCTGCTTCAGTGTAAGTTTGTCTGATTTACATTGATAGCTAGGCATGGCATCTCACATATAAGTGTACAGAGTCCAATGAGGACTAAACATTCTTAGTGGCTACAGTGCCAGATTTACATATAGGCTGAGCAGGCTGCAGCCTAGGGCCTCATATTCTAGGGGGGCCTTGTTCTCCTGCCATTTTTTAAATCTAGATTTTACTATCTAAGCCCAGTTACTTAGTAACATTAAACATGTGACATATGAGTCTATGACGGTATAACAGTTACAAAAGTGTGTACTTACTGTTTGGTAAGGTTTGTGGAAGCTTTAAAGCATGGGTCGGCAAACTACGGCCCCCGGGCCAGATCAGGCCAGTCTGGGTCCTAAATCCAGCCAGCCCGGCCATTTAAGAACCCTCCGCGAAGCCGAGACTCCCGGCGATGGCGACGGGAGGAAGAGGCCGAGCGGTGGCAGCTCTGCCAATCAAACACCATGCCTGGTTTACCTCAGCGCAGTGCGGAGACGTCTCTGCAAATCACATGCCGCACCTGGTTTACCTCAGCGGCATTTGACTGGCAGAGATGTCCCCGCACCGTGCTGAGGTAAACCAGGCATGGTGTTTGATTTGCAGAGCCGCCACCGCTCGGCCTCTTCCTCCCACCGCTGCCACCACCATGGTGCTCCTGTGGGCCAGAGAGTGGAATGGACAAGCCCGCTCTGCCTGCCCGCTTCACAAGAAGCAGCAGCAGTGGCAGCAGCCGCGGGAAGTTAAGTGCAGCGCCCTCTATCTCTGGGCGGGGAGGAAGCCCGTTTTGCGCCACCGCAGCCAGCCCTTCAGTGAATGAGGCAGGTGGCAAACCAAGAAGGCGGCTGGGGCTAAGGGGGTAGGGAGGAGGACTACTTGCCCCCCTCGCCTCTTCTTCCAGCTCCCCCCCCCCCGGTGCCACTTCTCCAGAGTCCTTTGAAGATTACTGGATGGCCCAGTGTTTGCAGCAGATCCAGCCTTCTGGTTTGGGGCACTCAAACATCCATGGAAGTTGTCGGAGTAGTTTTCATTTTACTATAGTTTCTGGAGGCATTTTTTCATCAAAACTGAAAAGGACAGGACAACCAACATTCATCCCTACAAACACGTTCCCTGCCTGGCTGCTGCCTCTTTCTACACAAAGACAATCTTTCAGGGCAAGAGAAAACACATAGTATGAGAACTCCCAGTATAAGAGAAGAAGTGAGACAGCCTGCTGGCCACATACATCTGTCTGAAAACACAAGGGATGTTGAGAGAAATATGCCTCATTCACTAGTATTAGATTTAGGGGAAAATAACTTGCAACAAATTCATCACGGTTTAAAAATTTAAAACAAACTAGGGGGAACACACAGAAAACTCTGGCTAAAAGTGCCTGTCATACTAGAACTAAGTACAGCTCAGAGTTTGGGGGAAATAAAAAGAAAGAAAACTTCCATAAAACAAATCCACCAAGAATTTTTGGATTATCAAGTTGACCTGCATGGAATGGAGACATAAATCAACAGTAGGAGAGAGTTCTAACAGTATTTATCTCTGACTCAAAATGGCTAGGTTAAAGGGCAGTGCAAAAGAAGCAAAGTGGTCACTTTAAACCTAATAGTTTATTTATCCGCCTGAACCATTTATACACCAATAGCACCAAGTAAACTTTTATCTCACTGATGAATAAGACAAATAAAATGGGCAGCAGTTTAGTGTTCAGTTTCTATAGTCTTTATACTTTAGTTTCATACTGTAACTTTATTTTCTGCTTGTAAAAAAGGAAATGAGAGAAACAGTTTAAAAATTAATCTTTACCTACAAATAAACAAGGAACAGGGATTATACAGATTGGATCTAGAAAATTGGATTAGAAAATTGGATCACATTCACAGAACCACAAAAAGGTGAAGTTCAGACAACAAAGCTAAAACAACTCAGGAAGAGAGAGAGAGAGAGAGAGAGAGAGAGAGAGAGAGAGAGAATATTCATGAATTGGCTAAGTGAGAATTTAGAAAATGATGAAGGGCATATGATATAGTTACAATAATAGAAAATGCAATTACCAGGGGAAACGTGTAGTCAATTGAAATAATTTACTGCAAGTAGAGGCCGTTGTGAAAGTTATCACATGGAATAAATGGAATGAAATTACTGAAATATATCAGAAGGTAGGCTTCTGTGTAAACTAGCTTACTGATTTACCTATATGCCAGTGGGAAGTTTTAGGTTCAGGAAAAATCAAGCTTTTATGTGAGTACTAAGGAATATGTAAGAAGGCTAAAGATTTATGAATAAAGAGCTATCAAAACAGAAGAGATTCAGCTTAGCTGCTGAACCTAAATTACTATAGTTCAGCAGAAGTCACTTTATGCATCCCCAACACCAAAACCAGAGCCTGTCAACTTCAAAACTTAACTCTGGCCATAGTTCTGAAACATTTGCAAAGCATACTCTCTGACAAAATCTAGGCCTAAAATTGCACAAGTCTCCTTGAAGTCACAAATACGCAGAGGAAAGCACAAATTACACACAAGCCTCTATCTTGCCTTTTGTTCACATACCAGTTCAATAGTTTTGCAGAGAGCTGGTTTGGGTCTCCTATAACCTAGTCTGTAGTAAGTCATTGCCTACCTCCAAGCCCTTGCACTGTTCTCAGTAGGAAACAGATTTCTAACAGGCCAAAAGAGGAGGTTCAGCCTCCTCCCCAAACATTCACATATTCTAGCCACATGTCCTCTTTTTCATGGGTATAGAAATTGAGAGTTGTCACAGCAATACATAGTTAAAGGAAGAAGTTGGCAAATGTGTCCTCTTTTTTGCTCTTCAAAATATGGCAACCCTAGATGTCTTCACTGTGTGCACAAATTGTGGTTTACACTAAGTTCATAATCCTTATTTTGGGTAGGCATGAGTTCACACTTTACGCAGTGGAAAATGCATATATAGCTATCCTGAGTCAATATTTTGCTCAACTGATGTTTCTGAACTCTCATAAAATATCACATGAACCATCTCAAAAATTTTCCTAGTTTCATCTAATAGTTCCATTACACACTTTTCCTATTTCTAATTTACCTGAATAATAAGGGGTTCCAGTAACTTCTCCACAGTATGTGTCTGAATCTGCAGGTTCCGTGGATCAATTTTCATTTTCATGTATGGCATGGCTGCTGACATTTTTTCCCTGGGAGCAAAAGGAAAATAATTTATTATGTAGTTATATCAGCAATCATGGTATCTAAAGAGCTAAGCATATATGCTTAATTACGCCAAGAAATTTACAAGCTATAGCCAGATTGAGAGGATGAGAAAGCAGCAGGAAGGCTAAGACAATCAAAAAGACAAAACATATTCATCAGGGTTCCAAATGAATTCAACTACACTTATACATAACCACTGGTTAATCCAGCTCAGTATTGTCTACAATGACTGGAATGAATGCAAAAAAAATATGCTCTACCACTGGCCATAGGATCAAGTTCATAGGTTTCAGCACAAGAGGACAACTACATCAACTTCAGAAGGCAGAAGATGGAAACTTGCAAGTGTCAGAATTACCGGTATATTCTTGAGCCAAAGTGAGAATTGCTGAGCTCCAGACTTTATAAAATAATCCTTTATAAAGTGCAATCCTAACCGTATCTACTCAGAAAGAAGTCCTCCTGCGGTAAGTGGGGCTTACTCCAAAGTAAGTAGGGTTAGGATTGTAGCCTTATTTGTAATCTCTCCTGGTAGATGTATGGTTTTTCCAACTAAGTCTCCATCTGCACTAGGTCCATTCTCTGGAATTGCTGCCCTTCCTTGCACCACACCTTAGAAATAATCCAAACAACACTATTATGAAATAGTTGTAGATGCCTATTGTTGTGTTGTCCCTCTATGGCCCCATTCACATTAGTAGGGACCCCATCCCAGTACTGCTGCTGTTTCTTGCTTGCTTGAACCAGCCTATAGTCATACTGCCACATATAAGTATCCAACATTACTACAATGATGCCAGCTTGCAACCAGACATTATTTCCAACCAGCTTACTATAGGAGGCAAGAACATAATTATAAGGTGAGCAAGTAAACTTATGCAGAAATATAATTCTTCATGTCAGACAGGATCACAAGACATATAAACCATAATGTTGCAACCTCAGAGATATTTGGAGATAAATCCTGTTTAGCATATATAGATATGGCTTTTATCTCTCATTCACTTATCACAACAATATTATTTTATACTCTGATTCTGGCAGCCTCCTTATCCCGCTGGTGTTATTTATTTTTGTCACGTAGACAAGTGTTGCATCACTTCTGGTAAATGCTAGCATATGGCTCAGTCCTCTTCAGTTAACAAAAAATGGCACTTCAGACTTTCACTTATGTGATATGTTTCTCATATGCTGAACTACGGGAACATCTGTTGTCAGATTCTCCTGGACATGGATTCGTAAGTGTTTACATCCTGTACCATTAGACAAAGATATTGAACTATTTATCATTTGATTGTGAATCCACACCTAGAAAAGCTGGGTAACATCACTGAGTTATTGCCATGTATGACTTTAATTAATTCTCCTACTCAATTACTTACTTGACATGGCCTTTCAGAGTGTTATTTCTCAAACAGAGCCTTTAGCACAGTTGGCTGCTCTTCCAACTGGAGCCAAAAAATCAATAACTGGGCCATCATATAAAACACAATTATTTGGGTAGAACAGCCTTGAAAGGATTTGTGTCAGCCTATCACAAAAGACATTAATATAGTAATTGTCCAACTTTATGCATGCTTACTAGGAAGTAACTGCTATTGAACTACGTTGGGCTTATTTCTGAGTAAACATGCTTTACTCAAGATCATTGTTGCAAAATTATACTAGTATTTTTTTTACCTTTTTACTAGTACATTACGTCAAAACATCAGTTAGTTTCTTAAAGGCAAAACTGTGAAAACTCAATAAAATGTGAGCTTTTTCATAACAATAAATCAGCACAAAAGATATAACTCAACATACAGTATAAAGTCTTAATACTGAATGCTTCATAAAGTGCCTTGGAAGTTGACACAAAAACTAAAGAGATGCAACATGTGTTATGTTTCCTTCCTTCATTAAATATAGACCTGTAAAAATAACTATGCAATTAGTGGAAAGCTCCCAATTGTTTTTAATCTGTGTTACCTCAGGCCCAGAAAGATTCTGCTTTATAAACCAATTCCAATAATGTTCCCAAAGTAGTGAATACCTTTTGACATCTTCCAATGCCCTGCAAATTACAAGTGCTATAGGCAGGCACATATTTTGCCAATGTTCACATAGTCAGAACCTACACATGATTCTTGATTTCAATGGGATTTACTCCCAAGCGTGCATACAATTGAAATATGAAGTCAGTATTTTGAATATTTCATCAATATCATCCCACTATTCTTGCACATAAATTCTGGGTTCCTTAGCTAACTAGATCTCCAGAGCTGTACAATAAACTGTACAAAATTAGATTATGTTCAGAAATACCTAATTTCTATAATTTATTGATTTCAGAATTTGAATCTTCTTGGTGAAGTTTGCACGGAATATACAAAATCTTAAATTTTAAGAGCATATTTTTGGATGCACTTGAGACAGAAAGAATATTATTAGGTGCTGTAATTCCTAATAAATCTTTCCCTTAACAAAACTAGATGGAATAACTACACCTACAAAATTTTAGTACAAAGCAATGTGTAAAGCCACTTTGTTTTTTTCTTTCTGTATAATGAATGAACGAACAAAAATTGACATTTCAGGAGTTTAAAGTTTTTTGTAACTTTAACAGGAGTACTGTCAACTCAGCTAATGAGTGACAGTTCCTTAGTACATGTGCGCACTATATGTTCTTACTTGCCTTAAAAAAAACAGCTAGTCTGTTTCAGTCACAGAACTCAACTGAATGGTAATTTGTGACAAAAGATTTTTAAAGGTGCAATGCTACAACACTCACCTATTTCAGAACACAAACAGTTGCCGTTCAAGTGCTGAACCAATGTCTAGGCAATTCTCCCAAAGTTTAGAAGTTCAGTGTAGCTATTATAGCTCACTACTTGGCTTATCATACATCTGCAAACAGAAAGCTTGACAAGCGCTGCAGTGTATTTCAGGGTAAGTGACAGCAGGGCCATAGGGACTTCTCGGGGGGGGGGATGGGCACTCCTTAAAGCTATAGAGAGCAATACTATACAAACTCTTGGACAAATAATGAAAAAATAAAAATAAAGAACATAATTCTTCTAGTCTACATGGAACATACCTGGATAAAAGATGCCTTGTTTTGCCAAGAGAAAACTGTCTTTGTTTCCAAATTATTGGTGTTTCCCCCCCCCCCCTTTCTTCTCTCCTACAATTTGGTCAAATGCCAGTCTCAGCCTCAAAGCAATGACTCAGAATTTCAAAGAGGACAGCGAAGGGATTCATAAGGTTCTCACCCACTGCACTGGGATTGCAATGTTATTGTTGTTATTTTTTCTTTTCTGCACCATGTGGCAACCCACAGAATATTGCATCTGACTCATAAGATGTATTTTGTCTTCCACCCACTTCCAAACAGAAGTATGTTGGTAAGAAACAGTACTCAACTCTGACAGTCATTTTACTTAATTGCTCTCCTTTGTGCAGGCATCTAGAGCAGGTTCTGTCCCTTTGTATATGATGGAATGACTATGAAATTTCAACACTTCCCTTAGAGTCCACAGACTTCTTCCACCTTGAGCACTGACTGTGGAACAGCCTTCTCTGTTCACTCACTTTTACAGGACAGCTTCATGTTTTCTCTATTCAGCTTCAGGGTCCCGTCCCCCTCGCCAAGCTAGAATATCTATCTGTCTATCTTGATATAGACACAGGCATTTGAAATTTCCACCCAGCTGTGGTGGTAGTCCTGCTGTAGGAATTTCATTCTCTATCAAGAAGGAAACAGAGCTCTATATTGGAATAATGAATCCAATCTAACAACTGGTGCCTTTCCCACTCAACCCCCACCAATGTCATGTACTACTACTCCTGTTAGCTCCTGCCAGCAGCATGATCAATGGTAAGGGATGATGGGAGCTGTAGTCCATATGAGCTGGAGAGCAGCACATTGGCAACCCTTGCTGTAACACAAAGTAAAAGAGAAGTGCACATAAAACCACCAAATCTCTTAGGAGGCCAAGACACTGCGAAGGCATACTTGGCAGGATATGTTTTATAGTTGCAGTTAGCTCTTAATTATATATTTCTCACACGTCATCATCATCAGTTGATGTCAGCACAACTCTAGGAATGTTATTTGTTAGCCTCTTGTTTGTTACTGAGACAATACATAAAACACAAATCATGTTTTATAGGCACCACCAAAAAATTGTGACTATATTTTTTCTTTAATTTTCCCTTATGCAGGAAAGATGTTTAGAATGCAAGAGACTTGTTATCTGTGAAATTTTTACAGTTTTTCTTGGAATGGAAAATATGGTGTATTCTCCCATAACAGCAACCTGGCTGTTGTAAAATAGTTGGCATAAAATATTATAGTTCTATAGAGTTTAATGAAGCTAAGCTAATTTAAAGCAACAGCATGTCTGTTCTAGCTAATGTCAGCATAATGTCCTGCTCAGTTGACCTATGACACCATACGTGATAGTTTACCATTTCTTTAAAACTATGCCTTCCTGTTTTTCGAAAACCAAATAAACAAAATGGTATTTCCAGAGCCCTGTCTTTAACTGAGACTTTTACAACCTTCACCAAAAATTATAGCTTTACTTTGAAACCAGTAATAATAATAATAATAATAATAATAATGATAATGATAATAATAATAATAATAATAATAATAATAATAATAATAATAATAATAATTTATTATTTGTACCCCGCCCATCTGGCTGGGTTTCCCCAGCCACTCTGGGCGGCTTCCAACAAAGATGAAAAATACACTAAAATGTCACATATTAAGAACTTCCCTGAACAGGGCTGCCTTCAGATGTCTTCTGAATGTCAGGTAGTTGTTTATCGCTTTGACATCTGATGGGAGGGCGTTCCACAGGACGGGCGCCACTACCAAGAAGGCCCTCTGCCTGGTTCCCTGTAACTTGGCCTCTCGCAGTGAGGGAACCACCAGAAGGCCCTCGGAGCTGGACCTCAGTGTCCGGGCAGAACGATGGGGGTGGAGACGCTCCTTCAGATATACTGGACCGAGGCCGTTTAGGGCTTTAAAGGTCAGCACCAACACTTTGAATTGTGCTCGGAAACTTACTGGGAGCCAATGTAGGTCTTTCAAGACCGGTGTTATATGGTCTCGGCGGCCGCTCCCAGTCACCAGTCTAGCTGCCGCATTCTGGATTAGTTGTAGTTTCCGGGTCACCTTCAAAGGTAGCCCCACGTAGAGCGCATTGCAGTAGTCCAAGCGGGAGATAACCAGAGCATGCACCACTCTGGCGAGACAGTCTGCAGGCAGATAGGGTCTCAGCCTACGTACCAGATGGAGCTGGTAAACAGCTGCCCTGGATACAGATTTGACCTGTGCCTCTATGGACAGCTGAAGGGGCGCTGGACAGAGAGGGGGAGAATTTTTTTTTCTTGTTCTCCCCCCTCTAAAACAAGGTGCGTCCTATTGTCCGGTGCGTCCTATGGTGCGAAAAATACGGTATATTAGGAGAAGATAAAGGTAAAGAGACCCCTGACCATTAGATCCAGTTGCGGATGACTCTAGGGTTGCAGCGCTCATCTCGCTTTATTGGCCAAGGGAGCTGACGTACAGCTTCCGGGTCATGTGGCCAGCATGACTAAGCCACTTCTGGCAAACCAGAGCAGCGCACGGAAACACTGTTACCTTGCTGCCAGAGTGGTACCTATTTATCTACTTGCCCTTTGATGTGCTTTCGAACTGCTAGGTTGGCAGGAGAAGGGACCGAGCAACAGGAACTCACTCTGTCATGGGGATTCAAACCGCCGACCTTCTGATCGGCAAACCTAGGCTCTGTGGTTTAGACCACCACGCCACCCGCACCCATTTGGGGAGTCTGTCCCTGCCCCAATTCAGAACAATATGGTAACTCTGGGGAAGCATCACCAGAAGTAATAAAGAGGAATGATGTATGGATGGTCCAGTATAAATCTACCTCTAATGCCCTATTGTTGCACCAATGACATATTAAAGAAAACATTCACAAGAAGTCCACCAAGCCCTTTCTGCCACAAAAGAAAAAATATCTCATTGGGCTACCAACATTGCTTTTCTTGCAGGGCTCTCAACTTTTATCAATTACCAAACACGAAGAAATTTAGTTGGTGCCATTTTTCCATAACTTTGTAAAGAAAGATAAAGAGCCTGGCAGGATCAAGCAAAAAGCTTGTCTAGTCCAGTATCTTGTTCTCAGAGTGGCCAACCAGATGCCTATAGGAAGCACCACAGCACTCACCCCACTCATGATCCCCAGCGTTTGGAATTTAACATGTATCTGTTCCTGGAGACAGAGTATAGCCATCATTATTAGTAACAAATGATAGCCTTATCCTCTTTCATTTGCCTAATACACTTTTAAAGCCACCTAAACTGATGACTGTCATCACATTTTGTGGAAATGAATTCTGTAAGTTATCACTACTGTTTAAAGTTTTTGCATATCTAGAAAAGCCTCACCTGACAAAAATGTGCAGGATGCCCCTTCATCCCATGTATGAAGGGGGGGGAGGCATTAAGTGCCATGGCCAGGCCCTACATAAGGCCTTGGACTTGTAAAAGCAGCCCAAAAGAGGAAAGTCCGCCAATTGTAGCTTCTCCCATTAGTGTAGTTTCATTTGTGGAAACACCATATTGGCAACCATAGTAAAGACCAAATCCTCTCTTCTGCCTAATATTGGGTCATTTCATATGGGATAAGGTAGTACATAAAATACCCTGTTTCCAGAATAGAAAGCTTAAAGGCCTAAACCAGCACCTTGATTTGGTCCAAGAAACAAGCCCTATAAGCATGTGGGTAACAGAGTCAGAACTAAAAGAAATGTAACCATAAGCCACATGTCATTGGTTGATGGAAGTGTTCTGATTCCAGCTCCCATCTTACTGTAACTGCCACTTTGAGCAGTTACTGGTTGATATGGGGAAATGAAAGAGGCTGAGATATAGAGCTATTACAGTCTTTCTTGAACCTTGGAGCTAGGTCAAAGTATTGCTGCAAGTCTTGAGCTAGGGCTGAGTTGGGAACAGGGAACTAGAAAAGAACAGAAGGAAAAATGCAGGTTAGGATTGTACAGTAGTTTAGATAATTAAGGATGCTGTGTAAGGTGCAGGAGATTAATAAGCTAACAACTTTTTCTGACAAGCCTATTATTGCTGCCTGACAGGCAGAAACTTAGTTGGTGAAGTTTTTTCAGTATGGAGGTGAAATGAGGGGGAAAGCTTTGCTTGCTAAATTTCTGCCAGCCAAGCAGCTGTTAAAGACACAGGAGCCCTACCAGGAAAAAACAGCTTTGAATGTTTACAAGGTACGGCAGCTAGAAAATTCTTCCATTTAAACTAGACTCACCCATGTTATAGTTGGACATTACCAGGTGATAATGCTGACTTAATCTGCCAAATTCCACATATCAAGATGCTGTTAAATGCACATTAGCAGGCTAGGCTGTCCCCTCCCTCCCTAGCTAAAAACAAAGCAGAACATAATGATTTGTGTGTTTGATTTGACTATTTTATCTAGTACTTAGTAGAAAAGGACATAAGACTGATCTTCCCCTGCCACAGTGTTTACCTTTGAGAAGTCAGATATACCCGTTTCCAAGTTTGTCTATTAATATTCCCTGACTGCTTACAAATACTGGAAAGTATAACAAGTTGATTTTCAACCATCTTGCAATACCTTTGTCTCTATATGTGGAAATGGAGAAAAATGAAGATAAGAGCCTTCCTTTCTCCTTTGGAGGAAGACATAGAAGATAATCTAAAGAATTTGTGAATACAAACAAGGAGTATGTAATCTGCAACTTTAGACCTTATAGATTCGTTGTTTTTGAAAAAATGTAAACAAGCTAAGAGACTGCTATTGACAATAAGTTGCCTATGAAAATATTTTACTAGAACATTTTGCTTGATTTTTATGGAGAAAAGAGTTCAGGAATGTATGGGAAATGGTGAAATAAATTTGAGTGAAATTGGATACAGGCAGAATGTATCAGCTGGGAGAGGCGTACATAGTCACTAAAATGGTGCCTACCAGTCTGTACATATTATAGAATGAAGGGTGCAATCCTAATTACATTTACTAGGAAGTAATTCCTATTAAACATCAGTAGAACTTGAGTCCGAGTAAAGATATCCAGGGACTCAATTGGATTTGCCCTAGTAAAAACATCTAGCTCCAGGCTGTAGGGAGAGCTATGTAGGGAGAGCTATATGTGCTTGCTCCAGCCTTTGTTGTTAAAGCAATTTCTGGTGAATTTTATTTTATAGCAGCAGGTTGAATTGTGTCTTCAGATGGGCTATAGAAAGTTTTGGAGGAAACACTATTTAGAATAAGTCAGGCTATCAGCATTCTATAGTTGATCTCCTTTGTAATGCTTTTTTAAAAATAAAATAAAAATCTTTTAAGATATTTTAGTTTTTTGTTAGACATTCAAAGCAACATATTTAACTACCTTCAGTGATGTATACTATATACTTTGATGTTTTCATGCAGACTGTAGACAAATTTGAGATTCCCCCCCCAAAAAAAAGTATAAAGTGGTATAGAAATGAAATGAATAGTAGTAGTATGTTGTTGTTGTTGTTGTTGTTGTTGTTGTTACTACTACTACCATTTATATACCACTTATAAAGTGCAAAGCAAGCCACAAGGAAATCAAGCAAATGTAAATATAGTGTAGAAAACAATAAGAGCACCAAAATCTATAAAAGAGGATTTCACTATCCAGTACCTACTAACCATCCATATCCCAATCTACCTGCACTTTCACCCACACAAAAACAAACCCACATGCGAACACCCTTTCCTTCACTCTTAACAGTTGCCAACCCCAACAATCCCCTGAATACATATACAAAAAGACCATACACACTTGGTTGCTGCTGAAAGTCATTAGCCTGCCAGTTCTGTTGTCCTGTATCAATATTTTTAAACTACTCCTGATGATGCCAGTTTGCTCTTCAGAAATAAAACAGGGAGAGTATACTAAAACGCTGGCAGCCTCACAGTGAGAATAAAATCATATCTAATTTAGGACTACACCAACCCAAATAAGAACCTCACACCATTCACCCAACCCTTCATTTAACAAACACATATGGTTATCATATGGCTGAGAAATAAAGCTCTCACCCTAGTCAGCCACCAATTTCCACTTGAGATGTGGTCAGTCTCCCTTAACTTCTCTATCCTCTCACCCTGGGGCAGCAGCACACATTCCCACATTCAACCAAAACACAACCCTAACAGGATCAGGGCCCTCACAACACCCAAAAGCTGTAACACCTCTTTAGAACTTCATGTGCAGAAGTGGAAAGTCCACCACCCTCTTCAGTAGTTCTTGCTGCCAGGAGATACTGATTTTGGGGTGAACAAAGCCCACCAGGAGGTGGTAGGTGCTGCAAATACCTCCAATTCTTACTGCTCAGTTTGAAGATGTTAACAAGGTTACAGCTCCTTGGGAATAGGAGACCAGGTATCCTCAATTCACCCTTGTGGCCCCTTAATGATTTGGCTACAGCTGCATCTCATTATCTAGCTACTATTTCCTGTCTTCCACCACACGAGAGCCTTCATGTCCTCACTCTTCAGCTTGTGACAAGGCACAGGCTTTATACTGCATGCACACTCCTTGCTAAATGGGCACGGCTGTAAATTTTCCAGTGAAGACAAACATTAATGCCACCGTGGCCATGGAGACATGTGCACTGCCTTGCTCCTGCAATTGAGGGGGCTAGAGCTGCACAATGTCAGCATGCCATGTGCACATACCACAGGGTGTGCTGCCATGCCATGTGGACACCCCGTGGCTTGCGAGCATGCCTCACAGGGGGCATGCAACCACCACCTTGCTGAAAATTTTCAGGGGGCCCTGAATCAGATAAAGCAATCTGAGTACTATTCCTGTCAAAATTAAAAGTAAGGGCCCATGTGTAGCTACTGTAGAAAGAGACACTGAATTCTTTCCCGTGAAAACAATAAATTCTGCTCTGGCTGTCTACATACAAATAGGAAACATTTACCTAGCTGTTCCTGCAATAAAGCTTATAATTATTGTTTCAGTCCACACGACTGTTGATAATCTATCATTCTAATCCTATTCTCCCTTCCTTTCTCTTTACCTGTCAGGATGCTGATCCTTTCAGTTTAAAGTGCCTTCTGCTGACTGAGGTCCCCTGTTCAGGTAATCAAACTACCTATGCTAATAATTTAGCTTCTGAGGTCTTGAGTAGCCTATTAAGAACAGAGAGTCCTGTAATACCTCTAGTAACAAATAGATTCTGGAGTAAGCTTTCATGGTCTTTCCAATGCACAACTGCTCTTCTCAGACAGAAGTAGAAAAAAATATGCAAGGTATCAAATAAATGCAATGAAATATAAATGGCAGAGTTTGCCGCAATTAATTTATAGCTGAAATGTATGTAGAAAAAGTGGAATGGCCATGACACTAACAGCAGTAATTAATTATAATGCAATCATCTTAGCATTGTTTGGTCAATTAATATCTGTAGTAGAACATAGTGCTTCAAAGACCACCTCTGTAACTGCCATCTGTGTGCCCCTTCCACAGGAGGACTGGAGGATTATATCCACTTATCCACTTTCGCTTATGTCCTTCCCCCTGCCCTTTGTGTCAGGTTATCCCCAGGAAAGCATGCCTGGTTTCATATTTATCTATTTTTAAGTGCCAGGAAGACTTTCCTCTTTGCCTGGCTTTTGACTCTTATTATAAAGGGTTTCAGGCATTTGTTTAATGGGGTAAGGTCTGTAAAGCCTGTCTTTTAGCTGTATGTTTTTAGAATGCATTGGTTGTGTTTGTTTTGATTAATTTTACTGTAAAGTTATTTGGGTCATTTTTGTGAAGAAAGCAACTAACACATATGAAATAATAACTGTTACGGGAATGAGTACATTGCCTCTGTTCATATTCCAATGAACAGAAGCAACCTTCTTGTTCTGATTAATCAGTTTTTTGTGGATTCTCCTTTGAATGGTAGCTTTCAAATCAGTAGTGGAATGCTCTGTGAGATGAAAGCATTCACCTTTTCGGTGGGAAGGGTGAGCAGCCTCCAGCTGTACACCTGTCCATGATTTCAAACCATGATTTCACAGGGATCCTGACCATGTGGCTGCTTCTATGCACATATAGCTGTACAGGACGCTTTCAGGCATGCAGCCAAATTCAAGGATGTCAGGGTATACAGTGGTACCTCAGGTTAGGTACTTAATTTGTTCCGGAGTTCCTTTCTTAACCTGAAACTGTTCTTAACTTGAAGCACCACTTTAGCTAATGGGGCCTCCCGCTGCTGCCGCGCCACCGAAGCACAATTTATGTTCCCATCCTGAAGCAAAGTTCTTAACCTGAGGTACTATTTCTGAGTTAGCGGAGTTTGTAACCTGAAGTGTATGTAACCCAAGGTACCACTGTATGGGTAGATGGTGGATTAACAACAGGTGTGTGGCGGGCAGGGCAGTCCTACATCCTTTCATTAGGGCTTATGTTCCATCCTCTTACCACATGATAGTGCATTCAAACAAGGTATTATTCAACACATACAACATCACTTCAAGATGTCTGAATTTTACATATGCACATTCAGTTATAAATGTCATGGACTATAAATTATCTAAGGGACAATTGTAATCTTCCAGTGGTTGAAAAGGTAAATTATCATCTTGCTAGCGGGTGGCGCTGTGGGTTAATCCACAGAGCCTAGGACTTGCTGATCAGGAGGTTGGCGGTTCAAATCCCCGCAACAGGGTGAGCTCGTTGCTCGGTCCCTGCTCCTGCCAACCTAGCAGTTCAAAAGCATGTCAAAGTGCAAGTAGATAAATAGGTACCGTTCCAGTAGGAAGGTAAACGGCGTTTCCATGCGCTGTTCTGGTTCGCCAGAAGCGGCTTAGTCATGCTGGCCACATGACCCAGAAGCTGTACGCCGGCTCCCTCGGCCAATAAAGAGAGATGAGTGCCGCAACCCCGGAGTCGGCCACGACTGGACCTAATGGTCAGGGGTCCCTCTACCTTTACCTTTAGTGTTTTGTGTAATTTGATAACTGACAGTGCTTGGTTACCAGTTGATAAGTGTTTCAAATTAAGGTCAAACCCTAACTGCTATGATTGAGGGCAAAGGCCAAACTACAGGTTACATTAAATGTGTTGTTGCAATTAATGCATCTGGGGGTTAAAATAAAATAAACAAAAGCAGCCACAAGAAGTGGACTCAACCTTTTTCCTTTGCACCAAGGACATTATGACCTCCACACCCCCACACACAAATAAACACTGCTGTGTATGAAAGTTCAAAGAAAGGAAAGAGAAGAAGTAAGGAGGAAGAATATATTGAGTTTTTGCCTTAAACTGGCAGAAAAAGAGCTTTACAAAGCTTACATAATTGAATTCTCCTTCACAGAAAATAATTATCTGCACATAGAAAACTAGATTTCAAAAAGAAGAGTGTCTAACTTTTAATCTGATGGGTTCTACCCCTCACTCGCTTAGTCATGCTGGCCACATGACCCGGAAGCTGTACGCCGGCCAATAAAGCGAGATGAGCGCCACAACCTCAGAGTCTGTCACGACTGGACCTAACGGTCAGGGGTCCCTTTACTTTTACCTTTACCCCTCACTCCTATTAGCATACTATACGAGCCCCCATCTGTAGTTCAAAGTGGTACAGTCAAAGCATATGTTTGCCACTTTATATACTGTTTTTGAGAAATAAGACACTTCCAAGTGGTCTGTTGATTGAGAATTCATCATGATTTGTTTGCACAATATTTGCAAGGAATTTATATTACACAGCATCAAGCAAGTCTTATTCCACAAAATGTCAGGTTCCTATTTTTACTTTTGGAAGTGCGTTTGTTGCACAAGAACACCCAATCCACTTTAATTGCCCAACCTGAATTTGCTGGTATGTGATTGAAATACAACAGCAAAATATTGGTAGTCTGGAAGCACCCCTTGTCACCCAAGTTTTATTTATAAATAAATAGGTGTTACAAATATCTAAAGGGTTCTTGCCTCACTGTCTAACTGAGCATATAAAAGGCTACCCCTTAAATTTCCTGTCCCTTGGAAAATGGGGAGCATTAAACAATATCTAAACAAGACAATGAGATAGGTTTTTTTAGAAAAAAAGCTTAAATCTTAACTTCAAGCAATAAGATGGTCAGATTCTCTTATAAAAAATTATTTATAATCTAGAATATTAGTAATATTATGACTAGCTTTGTTGCATTGTCTGTTTGTAAAAAAAAAAAAGCAATTTAAGAACTATCGTTATTGCTAAGTAATCTTTTGCTTTGCCATTATAGCATTTTAGCCAGGGCCTATTTCCTTGAAATTTGGCAAATGCCACTGGAAAGAGAACAGCAGCCATCCAGGTGTATTTCTATGAATAAGGAACAACTGGATTCTTTATCTTAGGGTATGTGATTTATTTATTTTTAAAAGTCATTTTCATTGTGAATGATTCTCAGAAAAGAAGCCTTTTCAGGCCTAGCATTTGAATTAAACTACTGCTCATACAGAACTGGTAGCCTGGCCCAGTTTGCATATTTCCCATTACATTTTTAAGGAACTAAAATTGACCATATCACTACTTCACAGAAAAGCAAAAGAAATAGTACCATCTCTATATAAATATTCATTATACATGAAAGCATGCATATACATACAAGCATGCATATACATGTATTGTAAAAGAGAACCAGAGGTGTTGTCAGCTCAATCCAAAACACACACACACACACACATTGTAATAACTATGAGTTTTATAATAATTTTGCAGACCTTGCAAACGTAGCAAAGTGATTTGCTTTCATTGCATTGGCTGCAAACATGGCACATTCCCCTTTTCTAGGTGTTAGAAGTAGCAGGTCCTAGTGGTTCTGAGACTACCTAATTTTATTCTTGGGCATGTAGCTATGTATGTAGAGGAAGAGATGTACTTTGAGATTTCCACTCCATTTTGGGTTGTTCAGCTTCCAAACCATGTAGCCATTTAAGCGAATCACCACCATTTGATAGTGTAGTGAAGCATATGTGAATACGATCAGGTCACAGGTGTCAAAGTCAGTTTTAGTTTTTATTATAACAAAAGAGCAATCTTAGGCTTGGATTTGTGGTTATTCATGGAAGAAAGGAGAATCACCATGCTTCTTTTGCACATAATTTGCAATTGCATACCCAGGCACAGAAGCATGTGGGCCATCCGGGATAGCCCCAGGAAGGATTAAGATTTATGACACCAGTGCTTGGGTTGAAATAGGCCACAACAATATTGATTACAGGTGTAAGCAGGCTTTGGAAAAGGCATTGGCTATGAATTCTGCATCAGCCAGTCTGCCTGAGCTGGGTTACTCTGGATGGAAGGTTGCCCTATGACTCAAACTGGGGCGCTATCCTTAGGACCGCCAGAGGTAAGGGTACTATGGCTCATCAGCCCTATGTTGGCTCCAGGACATAAATATCCTCCTGGACCCCTTTAACAGGGTACTCATTTGGCTAAAATTCAAATCCACCATAAATTATGACAATTGCTATGAGGCAGGCGAAAACCTACAGACCAGCCAATTTGTCAGCAAGAAAAATATTCTCCCAGACTCTGAATACGGCAGCTGAACATTCAATACCAATGTCATGCCAACACTGTCCAGGCCACACCATCCTAGACAAGGTGGAGAATCCATCGATGATCAGAGAGGCAGAGGCAAGGCACAGCTCCCATTCTAAATCTCTGGTTAGGACCTGGTTGGAGACATCCCACACCAAATCTGCCTCCATCACCACGCCTCTCCACTCTCTCCTGATCGACCTGTTTGAATCAGACACCCTGCAGCTGGCCTGCTCAGTCACTGGCTGTGCAGACCAGATTTAGGCTCCAGGCGATCTGGCACCATGACTCACCCATAAACTGCCACTCCCCAAGCATTCATGGGTAAGCAGTCAGTGTCAAACCTTCTTGAAAACCGAAAATACTGCTACTGACGCTTCTGGATTCACGGGCAAGGAATTCTGGAGATATTTCTGGTTGGCTGGTTTGTTTTCAATGCACCAAGCAGAAAGATTTTGATGATTTGGAATTGCAACAGCCAGGTGTTTTTTTTCCATGGTTTGTGAATTTGAGCAGTGTTGGTCATCTTCCACTATATGACACTGCTTGCCGATTGAAACATTCTCATATGACACAGACACCTTTGAGAGTGTCTTACAGTGTGAGTTAGAATTATCCCAAAAGCAGAGCCAGCATGTTCTGCTCAATATATAAAAAACTGATAATGTAAAAAACACAAGGAACATTCTAATTGATTGTGGGAAGGGCATTGTAAACCTGTGGGGTATTACTAACCATAATACCATGTGTAGTGATATTAAGTGAAATAAGTAAATTGTGTATTATTGCAATAGACAAGTCAGTTTTCACCCTCTGCTCCTTTCTCACAAGAAATTGAAAGAATCTGATCTGAGCATCTGCATACATAAAGAATAACTAAAATATTTAACAGCATTTTTCAGGATCACTCCATCTCTTAGTAGTTTTGTGCAGTTTTTCTTTCATTCCAGTACGGGTATAATTGTCCCCAAAGCTGTTAAAATATTAACATGATTTTTTTACTAGATTTAGGAGAGGTCACTGAAACATATGGCAAATCACAACTTACTGTGTTTGAGAAGCATCTGGAACAGGCTTCCTCAAACTCAGCCCTCCAGATGTTTTTGGCCTACAACTCCCATGATCCCTAGCTAGCAGAACCAGTGGTGAGGGATGATGGGAATTGTAGTCTCAAAACATCTGGAGGGCCGAGTTTGAGGAAGCCTGATCTGGAACATGGTGTTGTGGAAAACTGACACAAATCACTGTTGGAGTACATTTGCATGGAATCTACACACATGTTAAAAATTTGTGGAAATGTTTTTTTTAATCGTTTTGAAAAATGCATTGAATTTCCTATAGCTCACAGTCGTCATCTAGTGTCACAGTTGTATATTGCACTTTACAACACATTCAAAATGTTTTATCTGCAGCTGTATAGCTGAGTCCTTGACCTCACCTGTTAATGGAGGGTTTACAAAGCTATGGAGAAGCTCATAGTTTTCCTGTTTTTGTGATACACCTAGCTACACCTCATTCTAGGGCTAATGGTAAAAGAAAGAGTTTCATTTCTTCTGTCCCATTTTTAAAAAGTTTGCCCTTTTTAATATTGTAAGAAGTGCCTTTTTTAGGTAACTGCAATAAAACATGTCTCTAACCCTGTTTTAATGCTATTAAAAGTTTCTGGGTTGTTATTGTAAACTGCAGGAAGGCAGGATGATGGTGACTCCAGTCAACTTTGAGGCAACAGACTTTAAGATCACTCTCCCAGAGTTGCAACATTTGATGGAATTTCGAAAGAAAGATGCAGTGAAGAAAATAAAGGAACTTTATGGTGACATCTTTAAAATCTGTGCAATGCTGAATACTTCCCCCACACTTGGGATACTGGGTTCCAAATCAGAAATAGATGCAAGGAAAGCTGTATTTGGAAAGAATTTTATACCTCCTAAAAAGTCCCTAACTTTCCTGGAATTAATGTGGGAAGCACTGCAGGATACGACATTATGCATCTTAGAAATTGCAGCCATTATATCACTGGGACTTTCTTTTTATGATCCAGGAGGAAGTGTTGCAGAATGTCATGCACTTGAATTTGGAGATGAAGAAGAAGAAGCGGAGGCTGACTGGATTGAAGGATTTGCAATACTTGTATCAGTACTTTGTGTAGTGTTGGTAACAGCTTTCAATGACTGGAGTAAGGAAAAACAATTCAGGGGGTTGCAGGAGCGCATTGAAAAGGAACAGAAATTTACTGTCATCAGGAAAGGGGAGTCAGTACAGGTGCCAGTAGCTGAGTTAGTGGTTGGGGATGTTGCACAGATCAAATACGGTGACCTTTTGCCAGCTGATGGTTTGCTCCTTCAAGGACATGATCTAAAAATTGATGAGAGCAGCCTCACAGGGGAATCAGATCATGTCAAGAAGTCTTTGACAGAGGACCCCATGTTGCTTTCAGGTACCCATGTGATGGAAGGCTCTGGAAAAATGGTTATTACAGCTGTAGGTTTAAACTCGCAAACAGGAATTATCCTCAGTTTACTTGGAGTTGGAGAAGATAATGAGAAAGCAAATCATAAAAAGCCAGCCAACCCTCATAAAACTGCTGGAAACGAAACAAAGGAAAAAGAACAAACTTCAAAACACAAAAAAGAAAAATCAATTCTACAAGCAAAACTCACAAGATTGGCTGTTCAGATTGGAAAAGCAGGGCTGGCGATGTCTATAATCACTGTTACTGTTCTTATAGCCTATTTTTTAGTTCAAACTTTTGTGATTGAGAAGCATACTTGGACTGCTGAATGTACACCCATTTATATACAATATATTGTGACGTTCTTTATTATTGGAGTTACAATCTTGGTCGTAGCAGTACCAGAGGGCCTTCCACTTGCAGTCACCATCTCACTTGCCTACTCTGTGAAACAAATGATGAAAGATAATAACCTAGTGAGACATTTGGATGCCTGTGAAACTATGGGTAATGCAACAGCAATTTGTTCAGATAAAACAGGAACCTTAACCATGAACAGAATGACAGTAGTCGAAATTTTAATTGCTGGCACACATTATAAACATGTTCCTGAACCTAAATTAATTCATCCAACCATGCTGAATTATTTGCTTAAAAGTATTTCTTTAAACTGTGCATATACTTCGAAAATACTGCCTCCTGACAAAAAAGGAGGCCTTGCTCTTCAAATTGGCAATAAGACTGAATGTGCTTTACTGGGCTTGCTTGTGGAATTAAAGCAGGATTATGAGGCTATGAGGACTAAGATACCAGAAGAGAAATTGTTTAAGGTATACACCTTCAATTCTGAAAGGAAATCAATGAGCACAGTTTTGGAAAACCCCAATGGGAGTTATCAACTCTTTAGCAAAGGTGCTTCTGAAATACTTCTTCAAAAATGCACCCATATACTGGATGCTGCTGGGGAACCTATATCCTTTACTAAAAAAGAGAAGGAAAATGTGATAAAAAATGTGATTGCACAAATGGCCTCTGGGGGACTTCGCACCTTATGTCTAGCATTCAAAGATTTCCCAGCTGGCTCAGGACCAAACTGGGACAAAGAAGATGATATTTTCAGTGACATGACTTGTATTGCAGTTGTAGGTATTGAAGATCCAGTAAGACCTGAGGTTCCTGACGCAATAAGAAGATGTCAGAGAGCTGGTATTGTTGTACGTATGGTTACTGGGGATAACATTAACACAGCTCGTGCAATAGCTGCAAAATGTGGAATTCTGCAACCCGGGGAGAACTTTGAGTGCTTAGAGGGGCATGAGTTTAATAGACTAATACGTGGTCCAGATGGACAGATTAAACAAGAGCTTATTGACAAGATTTGGCCTACGCTTCGTGTGCTTGCAAGGTCCTCACCTGCTGACAAGTACAACTTGGTAGAAGGGATCATTAACAGCAATATCACAGAACAAAGGCAAGTGGTAGCAGTAACTGGTGATGGTACAAATGATGGGCCTGCATTAAAAAAAGCTGATGTTGGCTTTGCAATGGGTATTGCTGGAACAGATGTAGCTAAAGAAGCTTCTGATATAATTCTTACTGATGACAACTTCTCAAGCATTGTCAAAGCTGTCATGTGGGGTAGGAATGTATATGACAGCATTTCCAAATTCCTTCAGTTTCAGCTTACTGTTAATGTAGTAGCAGTGGTAGTTGCTTTTATTGGAGCAGCAGTCACCCAGAATTCACCTCTGAAAGCGGTTCAGATGCTGTGGGTCAATCTCATTATGGACACACTTGCTTCTCTTGCTCTAGCAACAGAAAAGCCAACAGAGACTCTGCTGGAACGAAAGCCTTATGGCAGAAATAAACCTCTTATTTCCCGTACAATGCTAAAAAATATTATGTTTCATGCTATTTATCAACTTGTAGTTGTCTTTGCACTTCTTTTTGTGGGTGAAAAATTATTTGATATTGAAAATGGACGAACTGCACCACTACATGCCCCACCTACCCGGCATTACACTATTGTTTTTAACACATTTGTGATGATGCAGATTTTTAATGAAGTCAATGCGCGCAAGATTCATGGGGAAAGGAATGTTTTTTCAGGAATATTCACAAATTCCATTTTTTGTTGTGTTTTTGTGGGAACATTGATTACACAACTAATCATTGTTCAGCTCGGAGGGAAGCCCTTTAGTTGTGCAAGTCTTACACTAGAGCAGTGGCTATGGTCAATCTTCTTTGGCCTAGGAACATTGCTATGGGGGCAGCTGATTGTATATATTCCAAATAGGTTCCTGGGGTTCCTGTGGGAAGTTGGTGATCAACCACCACAACCTGTTGAAGATGAACAAATGGATGGTGACACAGTGATTGACTTAGGTGAACAAGAACTGAAACGCAGTAAGTTTCTGTGGTTCAGGAACTGGACTAGAATACGAGTTCAGTGCGGAGCAGTGAAATCATTTCACGAGCCCTCATATAATAAAGTTGTGCATTCAACAAATAGTAAAACTGCATAACACAACACAAGTAATGAATATGAAAACTTCACATGTTATTGTATTTCCATTTCAAAAAAAGTAATGTGCACATTAGCAATATTAGGAAATGGATGGATTTTTTTCTCCGTACTGGTGAGTGAGATGCTTTTTAAAAGATCTCTGACAAAATAGATAGACCTTTCTAGAAGATATAGGAAACAACATAAGGAATCAAAATAAAATCCTCTTCAAAATGTCTTCATATATGGGTCTGAATATTATATTAGCTGACTTTTAATGTACCTTGAGCCTTTAAATATCTTTTTTCCCAAGGCCATCTTCAGAAAGAGGGAAAGTGATTGATGAAGCCAAAAGCCATGTCGTGATTTTTTTATATTTCTTGACTTAAATGTGGTATTATATTATAAATTATAGAAGTTGAATAGCTTTTTACTTTTGCTCCTGTTTATACTTATAACTGATATCAATTAGCTGAGCTGCCTTATGCCCTCAATCACCTGTTTGGAAATGTGTTACTTTCTCAAGTATTTTGAACTCTTTCTTTAGCTGCTCTGCTTTGAATGGAGGGGGACAGATCTGACTACAAACAAGCCAAGCTTATTTGCATTTTGTTATTGCTAGCTGCTTATAAGCAAATATTATTAAATAATAAAAATGCTAAAAACATTTTTACTCTTGTTGCTTAATTAAGAGGAAGGGGCAAAACAAAACAAAACAAAAACCCTAAGGATGATGTCAAAATAATAATTAACTACTGTACACACAGAAGGAGACATGGTAGACTAATGACCCACCCTAGTTTATTTTATATTCCCTTAAAAAGGGATACAACAGATAGGGATCTGTAAACCCTCTTTTTATCCTACTTTTTGTAGAATTTCAAAGATCTTCAGCATTTCATCCTGAACTAAGAACCCATGCTTTCCATTAGGAATGGGGAACCCGTGGCCCTCCCGAAGTTATTGGACTCCAATTCCCATCAGCCCCACACAGATTTTAAAAGGACAGGTGCCCCTGCCTAAGCTGAAAATTGACTTCTCAATAACCAAAGGAATATTTCCCCAAATTGTATTGTTGCACTTGAACTGTGCAATTGTTACTCAGTTTTAACACAGTACATGGCAGTGAACCTCTCTTGAAATTGCAGCTACCACTGCCCCCTTCATGAGTAAAACTGTTACAATGGAAGTGTAATATTCAGGGACACATTTTACATTCATGCTTCACAGTATCAGAGTTACACTTAGAAAAAGTAATCCAAAAGTGTGCAAAGTGACCAGAGGATTCAAATGATTGAAAAAACTCCACAATATTGAGTTGCTCAGAAATGTGCCCTCAATTAGGGCTTTCTCTTAAGAGTTATGAGGGCAGTGAGGATATGACTATGGGAGTGTTACAGACACCAAATGACTGAAGTACACAATGATGCTAGTGACATGACAATCTGCCCTTCAACTTCAAACTTCTTTTCTTTTCACGGTGCACTGTGTCCCTTCAGTGCTAAAATGCACACACACACATTTCTTTTATTTAGAAGAAAAATTAGCAAACTTCCCCTGCAATTGCAAAGAGCCAGCAAACCAACAGCTATTTTATCCCTGCTTTCTTTCCATCATTTTAAAGAGGGCTTCCTCTCATTGTTTCTAGTCCACCAAACAAAAGGAAGAGGAGCAAGGAAGCTAATAGCAGCAACAGTGCTGGTGGTAGCAACCCACACAACTAGTCCAATATGCTGCTGCTTCTACTCATGTCCTTACTCATAGCACAAAACAACATAGCACAAAGCTACTTCCCATAAAACCTCTATTTTACACCTGTAGGAATTGTATCTTCAACCTCGGCCCTCCAGATGTTTTGAGACTACAATTCCCATCATCCCTGACCGCTGGTCCTGCTAGCTAGGGATCATGGGAGTTGTAGGCCAAAAACATCTGGAGGGCTGAGTTTGAGGAAGCCTGAACTAAATGGGGGGGGGGAGTATGCAGAGACCCAAGACTGAGTACAGTCATACCTCGGGTTGAAGTAGCTTCGGGTTGAGCTTTTTCAGGTTATGCTCCACGGCGACCTAGAAGTAACGGAACACGTTACTTCCAGGTTTCACCACTCGCGCATGCACAGATGCTCAAAATTATGTCACGTGCATGCGCGGAAGTGGCGAATTGCGACCCGAGCACATGCAGACGTGGATTGCATTCTCTTCAGGATGCGAATGGGGCTTCGGAACAGATCCCGTTCACATCCAGAGGTACCACTGTAATAATACTCTTAAAGGTAAAGGTACCCCTGACCGTTAGCTCCAGTCGCGGATGACTCGGGGGTTGCACCACTCATCTCGCTTTACTGGCCAAGGGAGCCGACGTTTGTCGGCAAACAGCTTCCGGGTCATGTGGCCAGCATGACTAAGCAGCTTCTGGCAAACCAGAGCAGCACACAGAAATGCTGTTTACCTTCCCGCTGGAGTGGTACCTATTTATCTACTTGCATTTTGACGTGCTTTTGAACTGCTAGGTGGGCAGAAGCTGCGACCTAACAACGGTAGCTCACCCCATCACGGGGATTCGAACTGCTGACCTTCTGATTGGCAAACCCTAGGCTCTGTGGTTCAGACCACAGCACCACCCGTGTCCCTAATAACACACTTAAAAGCTAGTAAAATGAAACATTAAAGAGATCCATAATTAATATTGAGAATAATGGGTGTTTCTGTCTCTTTGCAGATAAACCATCCATTAAATGGTTGGGAATTATATACTGAGAATGCGTTTTAACCTGTTTAGCATCAAGGTTCAACTAATAGTTCAGTTCATGTCTCATTCTAAGTGCTGTAGTTCATTAAATTATACAAAAAGCATTCTCCACCCATTTATCACCATATAAATGCATTCATGTAATTATTTAATAAAAATAATATACCACTTGACTGTAAAAAACAACAACCTTCAAAGCAGTTTACAAACATGCTTTGTAGACATTCTTCCTTTAGGCTTTTAGACATGCTTCTGAAGGCAAGTGGAATTCAGAATATTGTGGTGTAGAATTTCTTTTATTTAGCCCGAGGGCACCCATACTATTATACTATGCTATACTGTTATGGATAAAAGTGAAATCTATTAACTTGGAAAACAAATGTGAACTTGGGGGAAAAGATAGGAAGTGGAGGAGAAAAACAGCAGGACAAAATTGAAGAAATGCGTCCTCTTTTTGCTCTTCACCTTCTCCCCTTTATCCACACTTCCTAGCTCTCATCCAACTATGGCAAGAACAAATAATCTTTTCCCTACCTGCACCCTGAAGCTGTTCAGCTACAACTTCGATCATCTCTAACTACTGGCTCCGCAGACTGCAAACTCCTCATCCCTGTTCTAAAAATATCTATATGTAGAAGCAGCTTTCCACAGCGACATCAAGAACAGCAGACATAAAGTGCATATGTATATATCTGCATATTCAAGTTCAGATACTATTATTCTGTACTGCATGAATTTCAAGGGGATGTGCATTTTTGTAGGGAATATTTTCCATTGAAAGCAATGCAGTATGGTTAGATTGAATCTGTATTTGTGCAGAAGGTCTGCAATGGCTGACCTGGAGATAGTTCCATGCAGCTAAGCACTCTGATCCAAGTATGGATTTCTGTGCATTGAAGTAAGCTTGCAAGCAAGTATTTCCTGGAACAAGAACTGCAGATAAACCAAGTATGGGTGCAATATATTTTAGTGGAGTGTGCGCTCAGGTAGAGGAAAATATCTGCAATTTGAACAAAGAACACTTGAGGGCACCCTAGCACTAAAATAATTCATCTTTATGCTACAGTCTGCAGAACTTTTTTTCTTTTTTTCTTCAAGGACCGTAGGAACCAAAGCACTTTATTTTTTCCAATGGACTTAAAGCAATTACATAGCAGAATAAGCTGTAATTGTTTTCTATTAAAAATATTGGAGCATATATCTAAAAGCAGCACAGTGTTCAATGTTAAGGAAGCTATTTTTGTAAGCTTTCTGACCACAGTAGAGAATAATAATGAAAATCTGCATGTGAGTTTGAAAACATTTCCATGATGGAATATACAACTGGATGGAGTATTCTAATTCTTTCCTCCACTACCAGTCACAAATCCACTCTCAAAGTAGAGAAAATGCTCTGACTCTACCTGCTTCAAAATTATGTAAAGAAATTAGAAAATACTATGGGTGCCATCTACTTCTACTTCTGCTTCTGCTTCATTGACTATGCAAAAACCTTTGACTGTGTTGACCACAGCAAACTATGGCAAGTTCTTAAAGAAATGGGAGTGCCTGATCACCTCATCTGTCTCTTGAGAAATCTCTATGTGGGACAAGAAGCTACAGTTAGAACTGGATATGGAACAACTGATTGGTTCAAAATTGGGAAAGGAGTACGGCAAGGCTGTATATTGTCTCGCTGCTTATTTAACTTATATGCAGAATTCATCATGAGAAAGGCTGGGCTGGATGAATCCCTAGCTGGAATTAAGATTGCTGGAAGAAATATCAACAACCTCAGATATGCAGATGACACAACCTTGATGGCAGAAAGTGAGGAGGAATTAAAGAACCTTTTAATGAGGATGAAAGAAGAGAGCGCAAAATATGGTCTGAAGCTCAACATCAAAAAAACAAAGATCATGGCCACTGATCCCATTACCTCCTGGCAAATAGAAGGGGAAGAAATGGAAGCAGTGAGAGATTTTACTTTCTTGGGCTCCATGATCACTGCAGATGGTGACAGCAGCCATGAAATTAAAAGACGCCTGCTTCTTGGGAGAAAAGCAATGACAAACCTAGACAGCATCTTAAAAAGCAGAGACATCACCTTGCCAACAAAGGTCCGTATAGTTAAAGCTATGGTTTTCCCAGTAGTGATGTAAGGAAGTGAGAGCTGGGCCATAAAGAAGGCTGATGGCCGAAGAATTGATGCCTTTGAATTATGGTGCTGGAGGAGACTCTTGAGAGTCCCATGGATGGCAAGAAGATCAAACCTATCCATTCTTAAGGAAATCAGCCCTGAGTGCTCAATGGAAGGACAGATCCTGAAGCTGAGACTCCAATACTTTGGCCACCTCATGAGAAGAGAAGACTCTCTGGAAAAGACCCTGATGTTGGGAAAGATGGAGATGTTGGGCACAAGGAGAAGGGGACGACAGAGGATGAGATGGTTGGATAGTGTTCTCGAAGCTACCAGCATGAGTTTGACCAAACTGCGTGAGGCAATGGAAGACAGGAGTGCCTGGCGTGCTCTGGTCCATGGGGTCACGAAGAGTCGGGCACGACTAAACAACTAAACAACAACAACAACAACAACAACATGGGTGCCAGCAAAACAAGCTACAGTGAGAATGATCAACAAATATTCAGTGAATATGCGGGGAGCCCCATCTGACAAATCATTTGAACCCCAATGTCAAAGTCTGGACCTAGACACATCAAAAAACTGTTTCAGGAAAACGCGTTGTAAACCTCATATTGTAATGGGAAATCACGTTGCTGAAAGACTGAGTGCTATAGTGCCATCTGGTGTCACAGTGTTATAACGCATTTAAAATGCTTTGCTTTTTTTCTAATGTAACTGAGTCCAAAGTGTCAAG